AAGGAAGGAAGGAAGGAAGGAAGGAAGGAAGGAAGGAAGGAAGGAAGGAAGGAAGGAAGGAAGAGCAATGGATGGGAATTAATCAAGGAGAGAAGCAACCTGGAACTAAGGAGAAACTTCCCGACAGTGAGAACAATTAATCAGTGGAACGGCTTGCCACCAGAAGCTGTGAATGCTCCAACACTGGAAGTTTTTAAGAAGAGACCAGACAGCCATTTGTCTGAAATGGGATAGGGTTTCCTCCTTGAGCAGGGGGTTGGACTAGATGACCTCCAAGGTCCCTTCCAACTCACTCTGTTTCTATTCGGTTCTGTTCTATTCTTCTAAACTTGCCACGAGGCAACTTGCTACGGGTGACATTTTTCAGGGCCGTTGTAAATTCGGTCACTAAACGAACGGCCATTAAGTCGAGGACTACCCGGAACGGTGAGAAATGGCTGGGTTGGGGGTTTTTTCGGGGGGGGGGGAGGAGAAACGGACGGCTGTTGATCAGAAGCCTTTTTTCGCCTTCTCCGGCTGCCGTTTCCCTCCGCAGAGAGAATTGCCAGGACAGGTTTTCAATGAGGTTTTTTGAGCCTCCCTCTCCCCGAGAAAAAAAATCACGGGGTCTCAGTGGGACCTTATTTTATTTTATTTTATTTTATTTTATTTTATTTTAATGCTGAGTCGCTCCGATGAGAAGCAATTCATTCAGCCAGCTCCTGGCTTTGTTATTTCGGCAATATTTCGCCAGGCTGACCTACTTGGATTCGACAGAGTATTTTGGCTTTGTTTTTCAAGTTATCCGGCGCCTCTCGAGAGATACCAGTTCTTGGGGGGGGGGTCTTTGTCTGGTTTTGCTTAAGTGGGTTTTGCCCCTTTTTTCAAGCTTTTGCACAAAAGGGAAACGGAGGCATCAAACTCTCTCCCTCTACAAGAGGGGCAGGCGAGGAGAGGAGAAAGGGGGGGGGAACAGGTGAGTACAGGAATTCCTCAACAGGAAAGGTTGTAAAATGGGGCAAAATTCACTTAACGGCTGTCTCGCTTAGCAACGGAAATGTTGGGCTCGGTTTGTGGGTCGTCAGTCAAGGACTACCTGTATTTTACCGTATGCGTTTGCATGACACCTTTGGAAACAGTTTTAACAGAACGACAAGAGTGGGAAGGGACCGTGGAGGTCTTCTAGTCCAGCCCCCTGCTCAAGCAGGAGAGCCTGACAGAATCGGAGAATGACAGAGTGGGAAGGGGCCTTGGAGGTCATCTAGTCCAGCCCCCTGCTCAGGCAGAGGACCCTTACAGAATCGGAGAATGAGAGAGTTGGAAGGGACTTTGGAGGTCTTCTAGTCCAGCCCCCTGCTCAAGCAGGAGACCCTTACAGAATCAGAGAATAACAGAGTGGGAAGGGACCTTGGAGGTCTTCTAGTCCAGCCCCCTGCTCAAGCAGGAGACCCTTACAGAATCAGAGAATAACAGAGTGGGAAGGGACCTTGGAGGTCTTCTAGTCCAGCCGCCTGCTCAAGCAGGAGACCCTGACAGAATCGGAGAATGACAGAGTTGGAGGGGTCCTTGGAGGTCATCTAGTCCAGCCCCCTGCTCAGGCAGAAGACCCTTACAGAATCAGAGAATGACAGAGTTGGAAGGGACCTTGGAGGTCATCTAGTCCAGCCCCCTGCTCAAGCAGGAGACCCTTACAGAATCAGAGAATGAGAGAGTTGGAAGGGACCATGGAGGTCATCTAGTCCAGCTCCCTGCTCAAGCAGGAGACCCTTACAGAATCAGAGAATAACAGAGTGGGAAGGGACCTTGGAGGTCACCTAGTCCAGCCCCCTGCTCAAGCAGGAGACCCTTACAGAATCAGAGAATGACAGAGTTGGAAGGGACCTTGGAGATCATCTAATCCAGCTCCTTCCAAAGCAGGAGACCCCCATTTCAGACAAATGGCTGTCCAGTCTCTTATTAAAAACTTCCAGTGTTGGAGCATTCACAGCTTCTGGAGGCAGGTTGTTCCACTGGTTAATTGTTCTAACTGTCAGGAAATTCCTCCTTAATTCTAGGTTGCTTCTCTCCTGGATTGGTCTCCCTCCGTTGCTTCTTGTCCTGCCTTCTGGCGCTTTGGAGAACAGGTTGACCCCCCCCCCTTCTTCTTTGTGGCAGCCCATTTTCCTGGGCCGTGTTCCAAATCATGCTCAAAAACTCGCCATTGGAAATGTTCTTTGAAATGCGTGAAGCACCAACAGGGTGGCAGATCCCAAAGGGTGACTCATGGCTGATCAACCCAAGTGGCTACGATGTCGTTGCATGAGGCCTGCAGCGTTTGCGCGACGTGATCGTTGCGTGTGGGTCCCCTCACTGGACACCCGTGTTCTCTCCCCGCCCCTCTCTCCAGAATGACTCCTCAAGTGACAGCGACACAGAGAGCGAAAACAGCTTCTCCATGTTGCAGCCTCAAGATTATCTGGGCCTCGCGGTTTTCTCCATGTTGTGCTGCTTCTGGCCACTAGGCATCGCTGCCTTCTACCTGTCGCAAAAGGTGAGTGTCAAAGACCGGGAAGGAAGAGAGAGTTGAGGATGGAGGAGCTTTGGGAGGTGGGCAGGGCAGCCAGACTGGGACCAAATGGGGGCGATTGGTCCTTCTCATCAACGCTAAACTTGGAGGCTACGTATCTCCACAAAGGCCCAGCAGAAATATTGCATTCATTTGTTCATTTATTTGGATCCCACCTTTCTTCTTTTTACAAATAACGCGAGGCGTCAAACATATCTTGACACACCTTCCTCCTCCTCCTCTTTTCCCCAGAACAACACTCCTGTGAGGTGGGTTGGGCTGAGAGAGAGCGAGGGATTGGCTCGAGATCACCCCAGCGCTCTTTCGTGGCTAAAGCAGGACTAGAACTCAGTATCTCCTGATTACTAGCCTGGTGCCTTCGCCACTAGACCAAACTGCTAAGTGGAAGATGCAAAAGGGGGGTTTGAACTGGGAGGTCCTTGGTGCTCTCTGAGCTGGGTGGTTTTCTTGCAGACGTTTCACGGCCCAACTAGGTTACATCATCAGTGCTAGAAGGGGAGTGGGGTTTGCAGAGAGGAGGAGGAGGAGTAAGAGGAGGAGGAGTAAGAGGAGAACTGTGTGGTCCTTGGTACTCTCTGGCTTGGTGGTTCTCTTGCAGATGTTTCATGACCCAACTAGGTAACCTCATCAGTGCTAGAAGGGAGGGGGGTTTATAAACAGAAAGCAAACTTCATTCCCTTGTAGCACTGATGATATTACCTAGTTGGGTCATGAAACGTCTGCAAGAAAACTACCAAGCTCAGAGAGCATCAAGGACTCCTCCTCCTCCTCCTCCTCCTCCTCCTCCTCCTCTCTGCAAACCCCACTCCCTTCTAGCAGTTGATGGTGTTGCCTAGTTGGGTCATGAAAAATCTGTAGGATCACAATCAAGGTCAGAAAGAACCAAGGACCCCACAATTCTCCTCCTCCTCCTCCTCCTCCTCCTCCTCCTCCTCCTCCTCCTTTCCACCAACCCCTTCCCTTCTAGCACTGAGGATATTACCTAGTTGGGTCATGAAACGTCTGCAAGAAAACCACCAAGCTTAAAACCACCAAGCTTAGAGAGCACCAAGGACCCCTCACTTCAACCCTGAGCTACAAATATTCCGACGAATGAAGGCGAATATAAATGCAAATATTCCCTTCCATTGGAGAACTCAACTTCTCCCTTTCCACGGACGGACGCTAACTGGGTCTTCTTCTTCCTCTCCTCTCCCTTCTCCTTGCAGACCAACAAAGCTTCAGCCATGGGCGATTACCCCCGAGCGTGGACCGCCTCCCGTCAAACCTTTGCCCTGGCTGTCTTGTCCATCATCCTGGGCATTTGCACCTACATCGGCGCGGTGGTGGCCCTCATCGCCTATCTCTCCAACAAGGCCCCCACCTAAGACGTTTTCTCCCCCAAGGAACCACTGGTCACCCCGTTCCTTGCCTCCCCGTGGAGCAGGAAGGAGTGTGTGTGTGTGTGTGTGTGTGTGTGTGTGTGTGTGTGTCAGAATGCAGACATTACAACATGGAAGATCTATCCCCGTACCCTGGTCTTGTGATCAGAAGGAAACCAACCCACTGGGTTGAGTTCAGACGGACAATTTCTTGGACCAAAGAGGACACGGTGACAGGTTCACTTGCAAGAAGCCCCCCAAAACAGACTGAGGAGAAACTTGGGAAAGAGTCCTTTGGAGCTGAGGTTTAACTTTTGGGGGGCTCCTCTAGTTGGGGAAGCATCAACCAGTCCTTGGAGCTATGAGAAGGGGACTGTCCAGCCAAGGAGAACTCCAGGGACGTTGAGCAAGCAGGGTGACCACCGACCTGGAGAAGGACATCAAGCTGGAGATCTTTGCTTGGCTTGCCCTGAGCCCCTTACGAAGCCCCCAATTCTCGGTCATGTCTCCTTTTATACAGAGTCACTCAATCCCCCCATACCTGTCATGGTCTCCCCCACCCCCTGGCTTCTCAATAAAAGTCAAGGCCCGGCTGCCCCTCCCCAGTTCCCCTTGTCCTCGTCTTCTGTGCTGAGCGACACCCCTAAACCAACATCGGCCTGAGAATGGTGGTCTCCCGGCCCCGTTGAGATTCCACTGCTGAGGACACGAATACAGGTAAGTCCTCGGCTTTAATGGCCACAAGCGAGCCCAATTGTTCTGTTTGTTCCGTGCGTTTCGTCACCATTTTACAGCCTTTCTGCCTACGGCTACAGTTGTTAAATGAGTAGCACGGTTGTTAAGCGAATATGGTTTCCCCGTGGAAACACCGGAGTTGACAGTCTGAATGTGAGAAGTGAGGTGGCAGAGAACCTGTTGGTTCCCCTCTACCGATTGCTCCAGACTCGCATTTTTTGGGGTTTGATTAATTAAAATCTCCATTACTTGCTCTGTGTCAGGATACAGCAGGCAGCCTTCAAAGGGGCGATGGGGGAGTGACTGGATGCGAAATGATTTAATGTGGTTTGATAAGATGATGCATTGCAGAAATTGCAGGCAGGAAGACTCACCAACTAAATCTAAATTTCGTTTGGGGACGAAAAGAGACAAGGGCACCCCGTCCTTTACGTAAGACTCTGTGAAGTACTGTAGTGTTTCCAAACCGTGGCACCTGTAAGATAGGTGGACTTCAACTCCCAGAATTCAAACATAGCTTCCATACTGGGAGCTGAAGCCCATGCCGCTTAAAGCATGCTGGATGGGGAATTCTGGGAGTTGAAGTCCACCTGTTCTAAAACATGTTTGTTGGGAGAATTCTGGGAGTTGAGAGTCACAGCCCACCCGTCTTAAAACATGCTGGCTGGGGAATTCTGGGAATGGAAATTTACCTGTCTTAAAGTATGCTGGCTGGAATTCTGGGAGTGGAAGTCCCCCCCCCCCATCTCAAAAAGTTCCAAGGTTGAGAAACACAACTCTTGTCCTTGTGGGGGGAAAAAAAAATAACTTTGCAATGAGGGCAAGCTGGCTTCAGCCGAGAAAAACAGGTCTAATTTCATCCCTGCCCCGAGACTCATTAATTAAGGCAGAGGACGCCTCTCCTCCCCGGCCAGCTATGAAGGTGATGAGACGTTCAGGATGCTGAGAAGCAAACAGAGATTGGGGGGGGGGGGAGAGATGTGATGGGGAAAGAGCGATAAACAAACTTGCCAGGGCGCTCTAGCAAGCCTGCCCTGGGGGTGACGAGCTGTCAGTTTTAAGGCAAATGAGAAATGATATGCTTAGCCAGAAGCTGGAATCCGACACGCTTAGAGACGACACTCCGCGCTTTAATGCGTGTCTCACCACAGCCGGATTCTCCCTTTCAGAAACACTTCCCTCTAAGGATTTGGGTTGAAGGTTTGGTGGCGGGCTGTCATCCTTAACAAGCCATCGTGGCTTGCCCGAGCTGCTCCAGGTCGTCCTCGACTTACGACCGTCTGCTTAGTGACCGTTCCAAGCTACAACGGCACGGGAAGAAGCGACTTAGGACCGTTTTGCTGCACTTACGAACGTTGCCGCCTCCCCTTTTGGTCAGGCGATCAAAATTTGGACGCATAATAATAATAATAATAATAATAATAATAATAATAATAATAATAATAATAATAATAATAAAGTTGGAAGGGACCTCGGAGGACATCTAGTCCAACCCCATGCTCAGGCAGGAACCCTACCCCATTTCAGACAAATAATAATAATAATAATAATAATAATAATAATAATAATAATAATAATAATAACAATAATAATAATAATAAAAATAAAAAGTTGGAAGGGACCCTGGAGGTCATCTAGTCCAACCCCCTGCTCAGGCAGGAAACCTTATACCATTTCGGACAAATGGCTGTCCAGTCTCTTCTTAAAAACTTCCAGTGTTGGAGCATTCACCGCTTCTGGAGGCAGGTAGTTCCACTGGTTAATTGTTCTAACGGTCAGGAAGTTTCTCCTTAGTTCTAGGTTGCTTCTCTTCTTCAACTGGTTCGTATTTACGACGGTCGCAGCGTCCCGGGGGGGATCACGTGACCCCCTTGTGCGACCTTCTGACAAGCCAAGTCAACCTTCTCTTAACATCCGTGTTATTAACCAGCGCTGCTGTGGTGGGCTTAACAACGGAGGCAAAAAAAAAAAAAGGTTGTAAAATGGGGCCAAGCTTCCCGAACAAATGTCTCACTTAACAACGGAAAAATTTGGCTCTCCTGTGGTCGTAATTTGAGGACCGCCTGTATTTCTCTTAGAAAATCGAAACGCCAATCAGTCTAGACTTCCAAGTTGCAAGGCTTTTGGCAAGGGTTTCTCCAAAGGGCTCTTTCGAAGGAATGCAAGTCCCTTGCAACTTCATTGCAGGGTGTGTGTGTGTGTGTGTGTGTGTGTGTGTGTGTGTGTGTGTGTGTGTGTGAGAGAGAGAGAGAGAGAGAGAGAGAGAGAGAGAGAGATGAGGGAGGAAATGATTAAAAGCTAAGTTGCTGCATTCAGTTAGTTATTAAGTAAAATTCTCTCCTTCTGGAAGGAGAAAAAAATGGATCCTCTTTTCTAAAATCTGCAATCCTGGAATTTTGGAAAGGAGGCATTTGAACCCTTCCCCAAACCGCAGCGGCCGTCGGTGGGGGTGGGGGGTTGAAATATGGGATTTAATTCTTGGTTGGGGGGGGAGGCATCTCCTTTGGGAGATCGCAATTGCTTTCCTAGCTCCCGGAGCCGTTGGCGCGTGCCAAGCCGGAGAGGCCTTCGTTGATTAGAAGCGGATTGCTCGTTGGCACCAGGCCTCCCTTGCTTCTTCGCGGCTTGTTTGCCAAAATGCCAAATTTAAAAAAAAAAAAAAAAAAAAAACAAGCCGGAAAAGTCCCAGAGAATAACAATGAGCCGGATACGGTACAAAGATTCCAGACATTTCATCACAACTCAAGGTTTGTCATCAAGGTGACAAAGGGAGGCTGCAGGTCTTCCCGGTGTGCGTGTGTGTGCGTGTGTGTGTGTGAGAGAGAGAGAGAGAGAGGGAGAGGGAGAGAAGCAAGGAAGGAAGGAAGGAAGGGAGGGAGGGAGGGAGGGAGAGAGAGAGAGAGAGAAAGAAAGAAAGAAAGAAAGAAAGAAAGAAAGAAAGAAAGAAAGAAAGAAAGAAAGAAAGAAAGAGAAAGAAAAGCAACCTAGAACTAAGGAGAAACTTCCTGACAGTGAGAACAATTAGCCAGTGGAACAACCTGCCTCCAGAAGCGGTGAATGCTCCAACACTGGAAGTTTTTAAGAAGAGACTGGGCAGCCATTTGTCTGAAATGGTGTAGGGTTTCCTGCCTGAGCAGGGGGTTGGACTAGATGACCTCCAAGGCCCTTCCAACTTTATTATTATTATTATTATTATTATTTATTATTATTGAAGAAAGGAAGAAAGAAAGAAAGAAAGAAAGAAAGAAAGAAAGAAAGAAAGAAAGAAAGAAAGAAAGAAAGAAAAAAAAAAAAAAAAGCTGGAGCAGAAATCTTTCAATTCGCCAAATTCATCAAGCCACGAGGCAGATTCAAAACTTGACGACCGACAAGGGCTGTCTTTGCCAGCTTCATTCGTCATAACCGATGACAATTTTTCACGCTTACGGTCTTTTGCAACATCCCCGTGATCAGGTGATCCAAATCCAGACGCTTGGCAACTGACTCATATTTACGACGGTCGCGGTGTCCCTGGGGGGGGGTCACGTGATCCCCTCTCGCGACCTCCTGGCCAGCAAAGTCAATGTGGGGAACCCCGATTCGCTTAACAACGGTGTGACTAAATGAACCGCTGCAGAGGTTCACTTAGCCATTGCGGCAAGAACAGACGTAAAACGGGGCCAAACTCACTTAACAAATGTCTCTCTTCGCAACAGAAATCTTGGGCTCAATTGCGGTCGTAAGTCGAGGACTGCCTGCGCCGAATTAGCCCAGTTTCAGGGTCTGGCCATTGCAGAGAAACTCTGCAGGAGCCAAACAAGCTGGATTTGCATAACACGACCAGCCACAGAAAAACAAGGTAAAAATTAAGCAAGTTCTCGTGGGATCCGGTGGCTGATAGATCCTTAAATAACCTCCGAGGAATAAACACAATCAGTGTCTGAATCCGTGCACTGCCTCCCACCACAATTATGTTCCGCTCACAGCTTTAGGGCAACGTTTCTCAGCCTTGGCAACTTTTAAGATGGGTGGACTTCAACTCCCAGAATCCCCCAGCCCGCACGGTTTCGCATCAAAACTCAAAACAGAGCTGCACCCGTCTCCGTCTGCTCCCCTGGTTTCTCCAAAATTCAGCTTTTCAAGTCATCTGGTGCCGTAATTTTCAACCCGAGCAACTGGTAGGAAGGCTAGACTCCCAACTCCCAGAATTCCTTCAAATGTCGACTGGGGAATTCTGGGAGTTGAAGTCCGCCCATCTTAATGTTGCCAAGCTGAAGAAACATTGGCTTAAGGGCAGGGGTAGGCAACTTGGCTCTTTTATGACTCGTGGACTTCAACTCCCAGAATTCCTGAGCCAGCCACGTTGAGGGGAAAGGGAGAGGTTTCCATGCTGGCTCAGGAATTCTGGGAGTTGAAGTCCACCAGTCATAAAAGAGCCACGGTTGCCTACCCCTGGCGTAGGGTAACAGTTTTGCAAATCAGTGGTTTCAGGATATGGAATTTACAAAAGAGAGTTGTTTTATTTATATTTTGGTGGATGCTGCAGTTCCTCTCTTGTGCGCGGGGGTGTCTGTGGGCAGGGGGTCAAAAAAGTCAAGATGGTGGCCGAATAATGTGACCGAAGCCCTGTCTTTTTTTTAATGTGTCGTGATGTGTATAAAAGGTGCACTGCAACCATCCCTTGACCTCAGCCCTTCTCGACCTGCGGTGGTCCAAGGCAACAGAGAACAGGTCTTCGCTCCAAAAACAGGGCCTAGCTGGGGTTTCCCCTTCGCCGTTTTATTCGTGACATTAATTTCTTTATCAGTTGCAGCAAGTCCTCAATCAGTGGCAGTTTTTTTCCTTCGTTAATAGAGGGAGTTGCAGCCCTGAAATTTTTCTGCTGGTGTTAAAGCTCCCTCTACCGATTGTGAATTTTTTAAAAAAAAAAATGGAGAAAAGAAAACTTAACAGCTCGTTCCTGAAGTCCTGTTATCTGTTTCCGATGCCTTTAATATCCCCCAAATTTCTCAAAAATGGCGATTGACGGCTATAAAAGGGGGGCTAGTTAAGACCGAGCCTTTTGGCAGAGAAGGTGACCCACCCAGGGCTGGTGAACCTTTGGTCCAACCAAGCAGAATAGAATAACACGAGTTGGAAGGGACCTGGGAGGTCATCTAGTCCAACCCCCTGCCATCAAACCGGTTGGTCAACATTGGTAGCTTCAGGTGATGTATGAGCCAGACTCACGACTCCACGGGCAAGAGATTAAAAAAATAGGGCAAGCATTAAGCAAACCAGGATAAATTTTTTCCTTGCTTCTTCCTGGTCATGGCAGGGAAGTAGAAGAGGAGTGGTTGGCTTTGCAACAAACAAGTGTGATTATTTCGGGCAGAAGCCAAGAGGGGGAAAAAAAGGGAAATAATTCAGCCAAGAAGAGAAGAGGAAGGGCTGAAAAAGTTGCATGGGAAAACAAAAAAGTAGGTAAAACTGAGCAAGAATTGCATTGGATCCAGAAACTTCTTCTGGAGTCAGGAAGTGGATGCTTAACGTGCGTTTTGGAAATCCTGGAGGCTGAGGGTTGTCGGGGTTTAGGTAGCCAGCATTCCCAGCTTGTTGGCGTCCCATCTGCCAGCTACTTCCACAAGCTGGGTTAACAGCAGTCTGCGCACATCTAGAAAGCAGAGTCTGCTGTTGGAAGGCTGTTGGCTGCATCGGCCCCTCTTCCTTAGGAATGTCCCATTGCACCGGTGGTGTGTGTGTGTGTGTGTGTGGTGGTGGGGGGAAGTAGTCACCACTTTGAGTACTTCCTGCAAGCCGCATCTCGGTAGAAGCGGAAGATGGTCTCGGCCGCTCGCTGCGCGGTGGCAATGCACTGCTGAAGCTGCAGGGATTAAGGGAAGGAGAGATGGTTAAAAGCAGGAAAGAGGGAAAGAAAAGACCCCTTTCAAATGGACTGGGGGGCGGCGCAGCCCTTGCTGTCTGCCCCTCCCTGATAGGACCACAGTCCCAGGTCTCAATTACACCCATAGCAATAGTGCTTAGCCCTTAGACTTATATACTGCTTCACGGTGCTTTACAGCCCTCTCTAAGCGGTTTACAGAGTCAGCATATTTGCCCCCAACTATCTGGGTCCTCATTTGACCGACCTCGGAAGGATGGAAGGCTGAGTCGACCTTGAGTCGGTCGGCATCGAACTCCTGGCTGTGGGCAGGAGCGTTGCCTGCAATGCTCATTCTAACCACTGGGAAGGAAGGAAGGAAGGAAGGAAGGAAGGAAGGAAGGAAGGAAGGAAGAAAGGGAGGAAGGAAGGAAGGAAGGAAGGAAGGAAGGACGGAAGGAAGGAAGGAAGGAAGGAAGGGAGGGAGGGAAGGAAGGAAGGAGGGAGGGAGGGAGGGAGGGAGGGAGGAAGGAAGGAAGGAAAGTAGGGAGGGCAATAGCAATAGTCCTTAGATTTATATACCGCTTCACAGTGCTTTACAGCCCTCTCTAAGCGGTTTACAAACTCAGCATATTGCTCTCCAACAATCTGGGTCCTCATTTTACCGACCTCGGAAGGATGGAAGGGCGAGTCAACCTTGAGCTGGTAAGAATCGAACTGCTGGCTGTTGGCAGAATTAGCCTGCAATCCTGCATCCTAACCACTGCGCCACCACAGCACAGTCTACCTGCATACAGGCAGTCCTACAACACTTCATTTAGTGACCGCTAAGTTTGTAAGTGTGAAAAACGGTCATAAGTCACTTTTTTCAGTGCCACTGTAACATTGAACATTACATGACCTGTTGTTAAGCCGAGCACTATCAGTATGCGAGAATATTATAATAATAATAATAATAATAATAATAATAATAATAATAATAATAAGAAGAAGAAGAAGAAGAAGAAGAAGAAGAAGAAGAAGAAAGAGGAGGAGGAGGAGGAGGAGGAGGAGGAGGAGGAGAAACTGATAGATGCTACCCAGAGTACGATAAAGGTAAAGGAATCAGACACCCTCAGCTGCATAACAGCCAGAGAAAGAAACTTAGAAAAAAATTCCCCTTTGCTAATCAGGTGATTAAAAAAGACAGTGGAGCATTTGCACTTTCAGACTAGCAAGATTCTGTTAATGCAGCCTGACCATAAAGGACAATTAGCTCCTCTTTTCGACTTTTCTTATCTGGTCTCCTCGCAAGGCCGTGTTTTAATTTGCCAATTTATATGCAAAGGGAGCCGTCCATTCTCCCCCACACACACACCCCACACCAATATACTGAGGAAACTTCCAACACAGTTCTCTGTGCCCCCCTCCCTCCTCCATGTCAGCCGAGCCGTTCGCGTAGGGCTGTCAAAAACTGTCTGCCTCGCTTATGCCTTTTCAGCTCAATTACCAGCGGCGCACGGCGTGGCCGGAGTGCGCCAGTCCGCAGCCGGCGGAGAATGCAGACAAGCGGTTACAAATCAAGAATCAGTTCAGCCCTCTCGCTCAATTCAGCGGGCCATCAATCTTTCCGGGCGCACGCCGCCGAGCCAGTGTGGTGACGCGGGAACCGTCACAGGAAAACGGCGAACTGTCCTTCCTCCCCAATTGGCCCTGCTTGGTCTTGGCCAAACAGAAATAATAAAAACTCTGGAAGAAAAGCTCTTCCCGGGCGCGCACGACTGTTTCAATCCCATCCTCTTTTTCTTACTGAGGCCGATGCAGGTTTTAAGGTTTCCGAAGATGGGTTTGAAGCCAGCCTCAAAAGTAACGGGAATTCTGGGAAGGCGGCCCTGCGCAACCGAAACGGAAGAAAGTCCGTGTGTTTCCACTGTCTCCTTTGGCTACTTTTTCCGATTTTGTTCTTGCTGGACCAAATCTGTGGCAAGGAGGGATGGGTTCCGGCAGAGAATTTTCGTGGCTCAGAGTTGAACTGCGGGGACTTAGAGCTCTCTGGGCTTGTTTGTTTTCTTGCAGACATTTCACGACCCAACTAGGGAAAGCCATCAGGGCTAGAAGGGAGTGGGGATTGCACTCCGTTTATAAACCCCACTCACTTTTAGCACTGATGTTACCTAGTTGGGTCATGAAATACCTGCAAGAAAACAATCAAGCTGAAAACGCACTAAAGACCTTACAACTCTCTTCCTCCTGCTCCTCCTCCACTCTGGAAACCCCACTCCCTTCTGGCACTGGTGATGTTACCTAGTTGGGTCATGAAACGTCTGCAAAGAAACCACCAAGCTCAGAGAGCACCAAAAACTCTACAGTCTTCCTCCCTCCTTCCTCCTCCTCCTCCTCCTTTCTGTTCTTCTATACTACAAGTCCCACTTCCTTCTAGCACAGATGATGCTACCTACTTGGGTCATGAAACGTCTGCAAAGAAGCTCAGAGAGCATCAAGGACCCGAGTCTTCTTCTTCCTCCTCCTCCTCCTCCTCCTCCTCCTTTCTACTCTTCTATACTACAAGTCCCACTCCCTTCTAGCACGGATGATGCTACCTACTTGGGTCATGAAACATCTGCAAAAAGACCACCAAGCTCAGAGACCACCAAGATCACATCCTTGCCTTGGGAACAGAGAGAGCACTTTGACACCCAGGGACAGTCAGCTTCCCTGCATCCACAGTGAGATCACCACCCAGGTGATTGCACAGACCAGAGTTGAGGGCGTTCACACAACTGTAGCTTCCAAGCCACAGTGGAACAGATTCACACAATACTCTTATCCTCCATGAAGCAAACCAACTCAGGTGGCCCCCCTGCACGTTGCTCGGTGAGACCAAAATCCTGTGCCAAAACCTTCGCAGCTGGCTTCCGATGAGCCAAGTCAACGGGGGGGGGGGGGGGGGGGGGGGGGGGGGGGGGGGGGGGGGGGGGGGGGCGAAGCTGGATTTGCTTCACGACCGTGTGATCTGCTTAACAACCGTACAATTTCAGTTAATGATCCCGGTGAAAAACAAAAGCTCGTGAAATCGGATGCAGCCCCGTTGCTTAGCAACAGGCATTCCAGACCTAATTGGATGTTTTTTGCTGTGACACCTGTAAGACAAGGACCACCTAACCTATTTTCCCCCACCCCAGAGTCATGGTTTGGGCGGCGACTTCCCTCCAAGCAAAGGTTCAAAAAAGCGGCGAGAATCTGCACCGCGCGGCACCCACACCCGACATGGGTTTGCTGGGTTCACAAACACACACACACACACAGTTCAGTTTGTCTGTCTTCAATCCGGCACGGGGGGGGGGAGCAGAGCAAGTGACAACAGCACATATTTTGTGGCTCCAGATAATGGGCTATTGCAGAAGCCAAATTAAATGTGCCACGAGAAGCAATCCACCGTGTCCGGTGACGGGTTTTTTTTTCCTCCCCACCAGCAGCCCGAGGGCTTCTGCGTGGTTGTCTGTCTGCAACACAAGGCAGCCGCTGAAGGACACAACTGGGTTGAAATTGTCCAGGAACGGAGAAGACCCAGCTGGGCAGGGTCGTTCTTGATCCGTGGGAGACAATGGAAGCAACCTGTTCACTGTCCTGTCTCCTCCTCCAGAGCAAAGCTTTCAAACCAGCGCGGAGGCCAGCACGCCATCAAGCGTCCCTGAGCTCAGATCCAGAAGGAGAGTAAATTTGAATCATTTGCTCTCCCTTGCTGGCTGATGCCAACCGCCCACGGCTGCCCAGGTGACTAAGACACCTGCCAAGGAAAAGATGGAAAAGAGCCGTGGTGTGTCTCCAAGCCGCCGGGCGATCGGCAGAGGGATGGTTCCGTGTGCACGTGCTCGCCCACCATTCTGCGGACCGGTTACAAACAGGCTGCAGTCCGCTACTGGGTCACAGCCCCGGGGGTTTAGGGACGCCTGTGCTAAAGGATGCTGGACAACTTTTAGAGATGGAGAGCCGGAAAACCCCGAGCGTTTTTTCCCCCCCTTCCCACCTGTCCCTTGTCGGATTCTTTTGCGAGCCGTTCTAAAGACTCGGTGCAAATTAAGAATTATGACTTTACATATATTTTTTTTTCTTGTTAGTTGCGAAGTCTCGTCTGACCCGTCGCGACCCCACGGACAATGTTCCTCCAGGTCTTCCTGTTAGGCTAGCTTTAAAATGGGGTTGGATTCTTTTCCGTTCAGTGTGTTGTGAAAACCTAGCTCTTTTCTTAAGTCTATTGTGTGAACTAGACTATTATGTTACTCCAGACTTAAGTTTGGTGCAACCTATTGTATGAGTGCAGCAATTGTATTTTTTTTTATTTTATTTAAGTTTAATGCGTAGGTTTGTGAGCACCATCGGCCCTGGTCCTATATCATGCCACTTTTTTTTTTTTTTACCTTTTCAAGACTTATTATTGGGTGAGCCCTAATAAAGGCAACCCCCAGGGGGAGAGCCTTCTCTGTGGCTGCTCCTGCCCTCTGGAATGACCTACCCCACGACCTACGTACAGTTGCGGACCTGCGCCTTTTTTGCCGAGCCCTGAAGGCCCATCTACTCCGTGCGGCCGGCCTGGCGTAGTTTGATTATGTTTCAGTGGGGGGTTTTTGTATGGGTGTGTTTTTAGAACAGGCCTATTATTTAATTCGATTTTAAAACAGAAACTATTTATTTATTATCGTGGTTTTTAGTATCGCCTGTTCACCGCCCTGAGTCCCGCAAGGGAGATAGGGCGGTATATAAATTTAATAAATAAATAGATAAATTAGGAAATCAAAATGAGAATTGGGAACTCTAGAAGTTCAGCTGCATAATTTTAGTTTTTAGTCTATCCCAGACTCGGTGCAAATTACGAGGAGAGCATTTCGGGGCCATAGGGAAAAGGGGGATGTGTAAAACCAAGGCCAGACATCACACAACAGGCTGATGTTGTCAGGCTTCTGCGGAGCCTGCCCTGATTAAAATGGATGTGTGGTTGTGCCCTCTCCGTTCCCCTTCACCTAAGCGCCGATTTTAGCCAGAGGCGCTGGAGATGGTGATGAATGCTTAAAGAGGGGGAGACAATGCTCGCAAAGACCCCCAAAGGGGCATTCCTGCTAAACAGGGGTGGGGGGGAAGGAATCAGTACAACAGCGCTCACGTCAAGCCTGAAAACAACATTTAAAAAAAAAAGCAATGACCGAGGGGCATTAAATCAGAAGAATTAAAGCGCAAAGGGGCTATAGACTTTGACATTCATCAAGAGCAGGAAAATCTCCCAGCTGATAGGCACAAAAAAACCACCTTTAGGAGATAAAGTACAAGTGGTCCTCGACTTACGGCTGGAATGGAGCCTGGAATTATGGCTGTACGTCAGGGCAGTCATTAAGTGGGTCACCGCTCGATCAAGCTCAGTTTTAAGTTGTTAGGCAAAAGCAGTGATTGTGAGCGCAGCTGTCATTAAGTGAGTTTGGGGGCATTTTTTTTTTTAACTGAAAATTGGGAGGGGGGCAATTTCATTGCTGGCTGGGGAATTCTGGGAGTTGAAGTCCACCCCTCTTAAAGCACACTGACTAGGGAATTCTGGGAGTTGAAGTCCCTCCATCTTAAAGTTGCCAAGGCTGAAAAAATTTAATCTAGTTCAGTGCCAAGAATTTACCTGCCTAAGAAACGGCCATTGGAAGGAAGAGAATCTTTGTAGAATCAGGGTTGAACTGTGGCATCCTTGGTGTTGCTTGTTTTCTTGCAGACGTTTCATCACCAAATGTGGTAACATCATCAGTGTTTTGTTTACAGGGTTTAACAAAGAGCAAACCCTCCATCCTTCTAGCATTGATGATGTTGCCTAGATGGGTAAGGAAACGTCTGCAAGAAAACAAGCAAGTTCAGAGAGCACCATGGACCCCACAGTTGTCCTCCTCCTCCTCCTCCTCCTCTCCACAAACCCCACTCCCTTCCAGCACTGATGATGTTACCTAGTCGGGTAATGAAACGTCTGCAAGAAAACAAGCAACCTCAGAGAGCACCAAGGACCCCACAGATCAACCCTGGCTCTTCTCTTCCTTCAAATGTGTGTGTGTGTGTGTCTTCATTCCTAGCGGGATAACGACGGCTACGGCCCGACGCTATCAGGAGGATATCCAGCCCGAGAAGGAACACACCAACCTCGGCCAAAGAGAAATCTGGGCTGCAAATAATTCTGTTTTTCCAGAGCCCCCATTTATTACAATTCACTCTTGGAATGAAAACGCGGCCTTCGCCACCTGACAGAAACACTGGTCTAATTAATGGTGCCTGGCCGCCGGCGCCACTCAATAGCGCATTAACGTCCCTAATTGTCCCTTCGGAGCAGGACGGGCTCGGCGTTCCGAGCCATTTGGCCGAGATGCGGTGACGGTAATGAGAAACGACTCGGCGCGTCTCGCCTGGAATGCTAAGGGCCCTTTGTCGATGCACAGCCAGGACACAAAGGAGAGCACATCTCACCCATTATTATTTTTTCTCTCTCATCCTCAGCCTGTCTGTCTCTCTGCCACCCATACCCGTGCACGCTCACATAGAGGCAGTCCCCAAGTTGCGACCGTTAGGTAACCATCGCTAAGCAAATCATCACGTAAATCCACCGTTGTTAAGCAAAGGCCACAGTCATTTAACCAAAGGTTCATTCCAGTGGTGGGATTCAGCCGATTCGGACCACTTCGGCAGACCCGGTAGCTAATTTTTTGTTGCCCAGACCCAGAATGGACTTCCGGAAGTGACATCCATACAGAGAACCCGTTGTTCACATATTTGAATCCCACCACTCCTTCCTTCCTTCCTTCCTTCCTTCCTTCCTTCCTTCCTTCCTTCCTTCCTTCCTTCCTTCCTTCCTTCCTTCCTTCTGTGGTAGGATTCAGCCAGTTCGCACCACTTCGGCAGAACCGGCGGCTAATTTTTTGTTGCCCAGGCCCAGAACAGACTTCTGGAAGTGGCATCCATGCAGAGAACCGGTTGTTCACACATTTGAATCCCACCACTGGTTTATTTGTAGTGCGGTTTTGCAAGAAAATCAGAAGGACGGGTAATCCACGACTTACAACAGCTCGTTTAGAGAGAAGCAACCTAGAACTAAGGAGAAACTTCCTGACAAGTGAGAACAATCAACCAGTGGAACAACCTGCCTCCAGAAGCGGTGAATGCTCCAACACTGGAAGTTTTTAAGCACTCGGCACTGCAGTTGCTGAGGGAAACAGTGTAAAATCAAAGTGAGGAAAACCTGTAGGCCAGTCTAAAAAATAAGCAAGGCCCCTAGATGTATTATTTTATTATTATTATTATTATTATTATTATTATTATTATTATTATTATTATTATTATTTATTATTATTATTATTATTATTATTATTATTATTTAAAATGAGGATTTAAATGAAAAATCTAACGAGAAGGCTGGGTTTTGGACACCAGGGGGATCCCGAATGGATTTCCCTCCGTAATCCTTTGTTCTGGGTACGTTTTTCAAGGCTTTGAAACTGCTTGCAGGGTGGAAGCAGGCCGAAATACTTTGAATAATATTAATAATAATAAATCAGCGCGTGGCCCAAGGAGGTGCACGGTTACCATGGATACCTGACACACTGGCAGACGGTTGCCTTGGGTTTAACACGGCAATTTGTGATTTCTCTCCCCCCCCCCCCAAGTACTGGCTCCTTCCTCTGATAACACTCCCTCCCCCCCATAGTGTGTGTTTTTTTGGGGCATCTCAGATTGGAGTTAATCCATCTGGATCGGCCAAAGTGCCGATGCCACCCCATCCATCAGCCCCGAACGGGGACCGATCCACCCATCTTGTATGTGTGTCAGGGATATCAAAAATATCAAGAGGCAGCGGACAAACAAAGCACTCAACACCCCTCCCCTCCAGGCAAATGGGGGTGGGTGACAAGTCCAGATCCGGATAGGCGATACCCATCGGCCGTCATCCTCACCTGTTCTTCGGAACACGTCCCCTTCATGGTGGAGAGCAGGACTTTTTTCTCAACGCTATCGATGGCGAAGGTCAACACCGCAGGGGCGTCCTGCAGGAAGACAGAATATTGAGCTCCCGGAGGCTACGGAAATTCTTAATTTTGATACGAATCAGAACTGGCCTTCCCAACCCTTGCCTCCTACCGTGCTCCCCCGAAAATAAGACCCAGCCAGGAAAATAAGCTGATTTTTTTCAGGATGCTCGTAATATAAATAAGCCCCAGTTAAGATCGTCAGCCAGACGGATGCATTTAGTACAGGATTTCCCTGGAAATAAAACCTAACCGGTAAATAAGCTCTAATGTGTCTTTTGGAGCAAAAGTTAATATAAGACCCGGTCTTATTTTCGGGGAAACACGGGTACATCTCCCCTAAATTCCCAGGAACCCTCTAAAAGGCCATGAAAAACATTAGGTCTCCTTGAATTCAGCGAAGCAAAATGGACGTCACCAAAGGATTCGTAGCCGCTCGGTTTGCTTAGGAGCGTGATGGGTTTTTGAGCCCACCCTATCTACATTTCCTTGTGAAATACTGTACATGGGGAAATCCATACAGGGGTTAGGGTTCGGGGTTCGAGTTAGGAGCTGGGGTTAGGTTTTCGAATTCAGCTCGAGGTGCACAATTAGCAAATGCAATTTTTCTTGCCACGTTCAAACTTCTCCGTTCCGAAGTAAGTGGATTAAAGCAGATTTGGCGAAGTGTTGCTATTTTCCCCGTTGAAGCGCGGCCGTGATGCAGCTTTAACTTTCTGTGGGGATTGATTTATTTTTTCAATAATCATTCGGATTTTCCAATCCCCTTTATTCGAGGAATTTAGGGAGCGTGGGATGTAAATAATTCGAGTAAATAAAATGTGATTTGGCCTTAATGATCTGGTTGAATTATCTATATAAATAAAAATGTAAATGTTCGTTTGTTCAAAATCTTAAATCTCCGAAAGTTCTTCACCGATTGCTTTGAAATTTTGACACAACGTCGCATTCGAATACGCGCGTGTTTTTATATACCTATATTATATAGATGTCACACCTGTGACAGGTAAAATCATGCTTTTTTTGGAAAACAGCACCATCTGTTGGACGTAAAAGCAACACACGCTTTTACCAGACTGAGCCACAGCAACGCGTGGCTGGGTACAGCTAGTTGATAATGGAAAGAAAAAAGCTGGGTTAATTAAAAAAAATAGTCCAAATTCTTGGATTGTCTAAGGCAGCCTTTCTCAACCTGGGCAGTTTTTAAGATGGGTGGACTTCAACTCCCAGAATTCCCCAGCCAATAGATTTGCTTCAATGCCCAATATTCCCCAGCCAGCATGCATGGACATCAACTCCCAGAATTCCCCAGCCAGCAAGGATTCTGGGAGTTGGAATCCAGACCTTAAAGTTGCTAAGGTTGAGACTCGTTGGCTCATGAGTAGAGATATACAAAACGTTTCTGATTAAAGAGCATGGGATTAGTAATCCAACAATGTGGATCAGGACTACAACAGGAAGACTTAAGTTCTAGTTCTGTTTCATGCTCAGAAGTTAACTGGACCAGTCTGAAAGCCCGTCTCTCTCAGCCCTAGGAAAAGGCAAGGACAGCCCATTCCTGAGAAATCCTGCCAAAAAAACTCGCAGGGACCCATCCATCAGTTGCCAGGAGTCAAGAGTGACAGGCAGGCACTCAACATCCGATATTTTGGGAAATAATATTTTTTCTCCCGTTACTCTTAGGGATGCTTTTTTCCTCCCAATTCCCAAACGGACTGCAGCTTCAGAGGAGACGAGTTTTCCTTAGAACAGAATGCCTTCCCCCATCTGCACTCTTTGTCAACGTGACTGAGTGATGCTTTAGCCATCAGCAGGAGACAGAGAAACAAGGGGGAGGAGAGAGGGAGGGAGAGGGAGGGAGAGAGAGGGGGGAGAGAGAGGGAGAGAAAAAGGGAGAGGGAGACAGAGAGGAGAAAGGGAGAGAGAGGAGAAAGAGGGAGAGGAGAAAGAGGGAGAGAGGCAAAAGAGGGAGAGACAGAGAGAGAGAGGAGAAAGGGAGAGAGAGAGAGAGGAGAAAGAGGGAGAGAGGGAGAAGGAGGGAGAAAGGGAGAGGGGCAGGGAGAGAGAGGGAGGAGGGAGAAAGGGAGAGAGAGGGAGAGGGAGGAGGGAGAAAGGGAGAGGAAGGGGGGAGAGAGAGGAGANAGAGAGGCTGGTGATGGAGAGAAGCCAGCCACTGACAAAAAAACCAGCAAAACCATTCAGAAAGGCTTAAGGATTTTGGGGTCCAGAAGAACGGGCTTTTAGGGCTGCCAAGTCTGAAGAAGCCAATTACCCGCTGAAGCTCTTTGACTGGACTTGGCATCGTCACAGACACGATTTACCGGCCAGGTGCCCCAAAGCCGAGGGTTCCCTCCCTGGCAGCCACACCAGGTTGAATCTGGACATTGGAAGGCCCGTGTTGCATAGTGATGCCTCCGGCAGGGCTGGAGGTCAGATCTGGCCTATGTTGCCAGAGGGTTGAACTACAATTCCTATCCTCCCCAGCCAGCCTGGGATCAGACTTCCAGCCTTCAGGAGGGGGCTGATGTTGCCAAGAATCCAGGCAGGCGAGTCCTTTGGCTCAATGTTTCTCGACTTCTGCAACTTTTAAGATGAGTGGACTTTAACTCCCAGAATTCCTCAGCCAGTGGGGAATTCTGGGAGTTGAAGTCCACTCATCTTAAAAGTTGCAGAAGTCGAGAAACAATGCTTTGGCTGTTCCGTTAGTGATATAAGCAGAAACTTTACCCAATCTTTGCTCATGTTGTCTCCTGCCTGCTCCTCCCCAGTGCCCGGTGGGGCCTTTGCTACTCCCTGCCACCAAAAGAGCAACAGCATTTATCCTGCCTGGAATGAAGAAGGAGCCCACCTTTTCTTGCTTCGCCGTGGGGTCCAGGAGGATATTGCCACTGGCGTCCAAGGCGCAGGTCACTCCGCAGAACAAGGAGCTCATTGGCAGCCCGGCATCCACCAGTCCCACGCAGGCGGCGTTCAAACAGCTGGAGAGCAGCTTTACGGGTAGAGATTTGATTCAAGGAAAATAAGAACAAACCAAGAGAGGGAAAGAGAGGAGAGGGACAGAGAGAGAGGGAGAAAAGGAGAGGGGGAGGAAAAAAGGGAGAGACAGAGGGAGAGAGAGAAAGGGGGAAGAGAGGAGGGAGAGGGAAAGGGAGAGAAAGGGAGAGGGAGAGAGAAAAGGGGAGGGACAGAGGGAGAGAGGGGAGACAGAGGGGGAGAGAGGAGAGAAGAAGGGGGAGAAAGAGGCGGGGAGGAAGAGATGGGGAGAGGGGAAAGGGGAGGGAGAGACAGAGGGAGAGGAGGAAAAGAGGGAGAGGTAAAAAGGGAGGGAGAGATTGAGGGGGAGACAGTGGGAGAAAGGGAAGGGAGAGGGAGAGAGGGAGAGAGGGGGAGAGAGGGAAAAGGGGAGGGAGCGACAGGGAGAGAGAGGGGAGACAGGGAGAAAGTAAGAGGGGGGAGAGAGAGGAAGAGAGGAAGAGGGAAAACGGGAGGGAGTGACAGAGGGAGAGAGAGGGAGAAAGGGAGAGGGAGACAGAGGGAGAGAGGAAGAGGGGGAGAGAGAGGGAGGGAGGGGCTGGTGATGGACAGCAGCAGGAAAACTAGCCAGATCTGCAATTCAGAGCCGTGGGCAGCTAGCCAGAATTGCTAGGAATCAGGGGGCCACATATATTTTAATAACATTTTTCTCAATACAGGGTAGTCCTCCACTTATGACCGTCCTTCTAGCGACCATTCAAACTTACAACGGCGCTGAGAAAAGTGACTTCGGTCCGGTCCTCACCCTTACGATTATCACGCATTTCCACAGACCCATCCCCAAGTTGCTCAGCAGGCAGTCGATTTAACATGCAAAAACGCTTGCAAGCCGATCTCTCTTCCCTCTCAAGGCCTCCCGCTCTGCTGCGGATAAGTAGCTTCCTGGGGATTGACTGGCACAGCTTAAAAAAAAGGGGGTCCGGGTTTTCACGGCCGCTGCTGCCCTCTGCTGCCCTCCGCTCTGCCAAGCCGTTTCAGCTCTTTGGAAGTAGAAGAGAGAAGACGAAGAAAATCCCCCGCGCGGGGCGGGGGACACACACACAACAAATAAAGGAGGCGAGCCTAATCCAAAGGCTTTCTGACTCTCACAAGCCATCATGCCAGCAGGAGCCTGGCAGAGGTGAAACCAGGTTAAAGACAGGGCAAGCTAGCATGTGTTCTCGCTCACTGTATTCTTTTTATTGCCTTTTCTTAACGGCTCGGTTCAGGTCAGGATCTCCGTTTTCGTTTGGCTAATTGATTCAAATCACACCGGGGGCTTGGAATCAGGCAAGCGGCAGCATCTCTTCTCTAAGGCCCATAATATATCCTAGGGCTGGCTGGGGGTGATGGACACGGTAGTCCAAAGTATCTTAAAAGCTAACCCCCTCCCCACCCAGGCTGAAGAGAAGGGCAAGCAAAACGTAGATTCATTTCTCGCAAGGTTTGATTTGATCTGATCTAGCGGAGCTAATAACTGTAGTCTGTTCAGAAGTTTGGGGGAAAAACACAGAAAGACAAACTGTTCTTCAGAACTCTGTATTGCGGTTAAGACAGGCACACACACGCATGCACACACACACACACACACCTCAAGCTGCTGCCCTCCAGCTGTATTGAAGTCAGCCTCTTTCTAAAAAAGATACAGATCCAGCATCTGCAATCACCTGAAGAACCACCATAACAGAAGAACGGGGATGCAGGTTGCCCAAAACTACCGCCTCACAGGTCTTCTTGATCATCTGCTCTCTGCTTTTTTCAGAGACACCTGCAAAAAAAAAAAAAGGGTGGGTGGGTGGTTAGAAGGCTTGGCAATTTGCTAAAATGTCCCAATGTGCTGATGCTGAGACTCTAGAAAGAGTACAGAGAAGAGCAACAAAGATGATTAGGGGACTGGAGGCTAAAACATATCAGGAATGGCTGTTGGAATTGGGTATGTCTAGTTTAACGAAGAGAAGGACGAGGGGGGACAGGATAGCAGTCTTCCAATATCTCAGGGGCTGCCCACAAAGAAGAGGGAGTCAAGCTATTCTCCAAGGCGCCTGAAGGCAGGACAAGAAGCAACGGATGGAAACTCATCAAGGAGAGAAGCAACCTAGAACTAAGGAGAAATTTCCTGACAGTTAGAACAATTCACCAGTGGAACAACCTGCCTCCAGAAGCGGTGAATGCTCCAACACTGGAAGTTTTTAAGAAGAGACTGGACAGCCATTTGTCCGAAATGTTGTAGAGTTTCCTGCCTGAGCAGGGGTTGGAGTAGATGACCTCCAAGGTCCCTTCCAACGTTATTATTATAATATAGAAAATAATCAAATGGCGGTATAGTCCTCAACGGAGGTTTAACTGGGACATGAATTTCCATTGGGAAATTCCATTGGCGATTGTTCCGTCATTCATGCTCAATTATTTTTTTTACAAACTTTGGATTATTAAGCAAATCACCGCAGCCGTAAAGTGAATCACGAGGTCCTTAAGCGAACCGGGCTTTCCAGATTGAGTTTGCTTCTCAGAAGCTGGCTAGGAAGTTCGCCAATGGCTTTGGGACGCCGCAAACATTGTAAATTCATACTGGATGCCAAGTGCCTGAATTCTGATCACAGGACCCTGGGGATGCTACAGTGGTCATAAGGGTGAGGACCGCTCATAAGTCACTTTTTTCAATGCCACTGTAACTTGGAACGGCCACTAAACGAATCATTATAAATCAAGGACGACAGGTGGTTGAAGTTACAACAGTACTGAAAAAGAGTGACTTATGACCATTTTTCAGACTTAGGATTGTTGCGGCATCCCACAGTGATTTACATTCAGGTCCTTGACAACTGACTCACCTTTATGACGGTCGCAGTGTCCCGGGGTCATGTGACCCCTTTTGCAAACCTTCTGACAAGCAAAATCAATGGGGGAACCAAATTCACTTAACAACCGGGTTACTAATTTAACGACTGCAGGGATTCGCTTAACAAATGTGGCGAGGAAAAGTCGTAAAATGGGGCAAGACTCACTTCACAAATGTCTCACTTAGCAACGTACATTTTGGGCTCAGTTGTGGTCGTATGCCGCGGACTTGCCTGTACTTGTATAAGGCATTCCTGACAGGTCTAACAAAGAGTAATCTAACTGAATTCAATTCTGCTTCCAGCACATCCCACTGGACACGTTTCTGGGCAAAGCTTCCAAGTGAAATAAGAATTTCAGGATTTCCAGGGACTTCCAAACAGCTTGCATAATACAAAGATTGTGATACAGGTAGTCCTCCATTTACAACCATCAGTGACCATTAGAAATTACGACGGCACCGGAAAAAGTGACATGACCGCTTTTCCAGACTTACAACGGCTGCAGCATCCTGGGGTCATGCGATCCCCTTTTGCGACCTTCCGACACGCAAAGTCAATGGGGAAGAAGCCAGATTCACTTTACAACCGTGTTACTAACTTAACAACTGCAGCGAGTCACTTGGCAACTGTGGCAGGGAAAGATGGAAAAATGGGAGCAAAACTCAACTTAACCCCTGCCTCACTTAACAACAGAAATCTTGGACTCAGTTGTCGTCATAGGTTGAAGACACCTTATATTCCTAAGTGGAAAAGGCCCCAAGTTGCTCACACCTTCCCAAGCAGCCTCTCTGCTTCTACTGTGATTTTCTGTGATCCGTTGGGTCCGTAAGATCTTTTCAGAAGAGGGCTTCTTGTCCCCTCCCCCAGACAGGAAATAAATCCGTTCCTTTTTCAACTGCATTATTTCCAGCAAAGCCAGCTTCTCCACAGACTCTGTCAGCGTTGAAAAGGATCTTGAGAGAGAAAGGAATATTATTTTGTTGTTGTTTTTTCCTCTCTCTGCTTGCCAGCAATCTTCCTTTGTGAGCTCCTGGCAGAGGGAACAAAACATCCAGATGGCGTTCTTGCTGGGGTTCCAGATGGCCCGCTTGGTTATGGAGATAACAGATCACCTCACCTTTGGATTGTGCTCCCTTCAAGAAGGGTGGGAAGAACGGTGAGCGTGCCCAAGAATTTAAATCAGAGGAAGGGTTGGACAGAGTGGCTATGCTCAGACATAACACAAATGCGGGATTGTTATATGTCTATGGAGATTCGCAGTCATCCAGGTCCTGGTTGTCCCAAAAGGGGCTTTTTCCAGAGGCAACTGGACTTCCTTCGTTTTTCCTTGAAGATGTTTCTCTTCTCATCCAAGAAGCTTCTTCAGTTCTGACAGTCACTGACTTTGGGCCAATTACCAGGAGACAGAGTTCTAGTCCTGCCTTAGACATGCAAGCCAGCTGAGTGACAATGGGCCAGTCCCTTATTCTCAGGGTTGTTGTTGTTGTTGTGGGGAAAACAGAAGGAAGATGTGTTGGATAGGTTGTCCCCTTGAGTTATTTGCAAAAGTAATAAAAGCAGGGATATAAATAAATAAATACAAGCATATATGTGGTATCTACCAGCATCGAACAGGCAAACAAAAACCCCTCACCCTTTGGGGTGATCTCCAACATAGGGCCCCCTCACCTGGCAGGCCCACTTTCGGCCTTAGCAGCACCTCCAGAGTCGCTTTATCGTAGATTTCCTTGCTGACCTTCACTTCTGTGGGTCCGTACACCCCGACTAACACAGAGGTATCCCCTGAAAATAGCCAGAAAAAAAAAAAGAAAGGCTTTAAATATGCTCCTAGCAGCTGAATTGTGGAAATGAGGGAATTTACAGAAAATTTATCTACTCTAAATTTCTCTTTTGGGAGGGAAACTGACCTGCGGCACAAATATGTTGAATTGCTAATAACTGGAAGAGTTGAAATGTAGCGAAAGTTATCCAAAGGATAACTTTGGCATCCTCCACGATTTTCAAAAGGGGGGTTGCTGCAAATAACCCCGGGAGTCGGAAGTCCACACGTCCTAAAATGGNAAGTCCACATGCCTTAAAATTGTCAAGGTTGAGAAACACTGCCTTAAGGGGAGGGAGCAAGCCCCCCCCAAAGCCAAGTTGCATGCAAAGTGCACGTTCAGCCCTTTTCCTCTGACACGCATCTTTTTGTGATGCATATTTCTGATTTGCTTGGTGCGTCTCCTTCCCCCCCCCCCGCTGCCTTTTTACTCCAGCAAGCGATCAAGATGCCCAACATTGTGTTATTTTGCGATTTATTTATTTTTTGTTCAGTTTATGAGAGCTTGTACTGCAGAAGACTCTGGACAGCAAATCTAAGAGTTATATCGCTCTTGCTTTATCTCTCTCCATTCCTATTATTCTGTCTGTCTGTCATCATCATCATCTGTATCTAATTTCACTATATCCAATCTCTATATCTATATCTATGTATCTGTCATCATATCTAATTTCTCTATATCCAATCTCTATAATATATATCTATCAATCATCATCTATATCTAATGTCTATATCTAATCTCTATAATCTCTATCTGTGTATCTATATATCTATATCTATCTATCTATTATCCATCTCTATCATCTATCAATCTCTCCTTTATCCATTCCTCCCTCTTTCTATATATCTATCCAGTTCCCATCTATCTATCTATCTATCTTATCTATCTATCTATCTATCTATCTATCTATCTATCTATCTATCTATCTATCTATCTATCTATCTATCTATCTATCATCTACCTACCTACCTACCTACCATCATCATCTATATCTAATTTCACTATATCCAATCTCTATAATATATATCTATATCTATGTATCTATCATCATATCTAATTTCTCTATATCCAATCTCTATAATATATATCTATGTATCTATCAATCATCATCTATATCTAATGTCTATATCTAATCTCTATAATCTTTATATCTATATATCTATATCTATCTATTATCCATCTCTATCATCTATCAATCTCTCCTTTATCCATTCCTCCCTTTCTATATATCTATCCAATTCCCATCCATCCATCCATCCATTCCTCCTCTCCCACCCCCCTTATATATCTGCCTCTATCTCTTGGAGATTGGGTGGACGGGACGGGGGTGGGGAGAGGACTCCTGGGCCCCCGAAGCGTTGCTGGATCCCATGCCCATCATCCTCGCCCATCACCTGAAAGCTAAACCTCCGACGGAGCCCCCCCCCGCCCCTGAATCCCCTTCTCCCCCAACCGGGCGCCCTCCGGGGGGCTGGCACAATAGCCCCCACCGCCCTAATCCCGAACGGGCGCCCCCGTTCTGCCCAGGGCGGCGGGCGGAGGAGGAGGGCGAGGCGGGCGGGTGGGTGTCCCGGCGCTGCGCTCCGCCCGTTCCCGGGCGCGGCTTGCGGGCTCTCCGCCTCTCCGGCAAGATGGCAGCAGCGACGGCGGCGGCGGGTCGAGCCGGGCTGGGCTTCCTGCGGGGGCTGCGGCTCCCCGGCCCGGCCGCGGTCAGGGGGCTGCGCGCAGGAGGGGTGAGTCGCCCCCCCCCGCCCGGGCTGGGGGGGGTCTCCCTGGAAGAGGGGGGGCTCTGGGAGGGGGGGTTGCTAGTGCAGGGGGGTCTCTGGGACGGCTAAAGCTCCGGGGAGATGGGGGGAGATGGGGGGGTCTCCTAGGGATGGAAGTGGGGCGGTGGGCGTTATGGATGAACTGCCCTTGGGCAGTGAATAGGGCCAGCGAAACGTCACGTAGAGATCGGGCATTTGAGAAGGTATGGGGGTCTCCTGCTTGAGCGGGGGGGGGGGGGTTGGACTAGAAGACCTCCAAGGTCCCTTCCAGCTCCATTATGATTGATTGATTGAAATGGTCTAGGCTAGGGTCTCCTGCTTGAGCGGGGGTTGGACTAGAAGATCTCCAAGGTCCCTTCCAGCTCTATTCTGATTGATTGATTGATTGATTGATTGAAATGGTCTAGGCTAGGGTCTCCTGCTTGAGCAGGGGGTGGACTAGAAGACCTCCAAGGTCCCTTCCAGCTCTATTCTGATTGATTGATTGAAATGGTCTAGGCTAGGGTCTCCTGCTTGAGCAGGGGGTGGACTAGAAGACCTCCAAGGTCCCTTCCAGCTCTATTCTGATTGATTGATTGAAATGGTCTAGGCTAGGGTCTCCTGCTTGAACAGGGGGTTGGACTAGAAGATCTCCAAGGTCCCTTCCAGCTCTATTCTGATTGATTGATTGAAATGGTCTAGGCTAGGGTCTCCTGCTTGAACAGGGGGTTGGACTAGAAGATCTCCAAGATCCCTTCCAGCTCCATTCTGATTGATAGGGGAGAGGTATTGGGGGGGGCTTCTCCAGATGGGAGGATGTTGGGGATGTCCCGTTAAGGAACCAGATGGGGAGCATTATTTGGGGCTCCCCAAAAGTTTTTTTTGCAAAATTCTTTACAGACACAGACACACACACACACACACAACCAGAAGGGGAGCTGACCCGACATGGTGGGAAAGCCCCCAACCCCGTATTTGGGATCCGAGGAGGAGGGATTGGAGAAGGCAGATGATCCACCATCACCTGCCTTCCAGAGCAGAGGGACGACACGCCCCATCCTCCCCAGCCAAGGTGGTTGGGCATTGTTGTCCAGCCACCTTGCAGGGGGCCGGGACCCTTGCATGATGAGACCCCTTTCTTTTCTGGTGGATTTCTGAAAAGATCTGCCGAGTTGGGCCCCCAATCTCTTCAAAAACAGGGCTGTCCAAACCTGGCAACTGGACGACTGGTAGACTTCAACTCCCAGAATTCCCCAGCCAGCCCTGTTTTAAAGAGAGAGAAAGGAGTGCGGAGTGTGTAGTGTGTTGCACATATGCGCAAATGAGGGGCTGAATGCAAAGGTTTTTTTTTTCCCAACAACCTTGCAAAGAGCAGTGGAGGGCCCCTTCCCAGAGTCAGCTGTTGAAGTGGGCGGCTATACTGTGGAAACTAAACAAATAAATCCATAAATAAGAGATATTGGGCCATCCGCCATCCATCTGGCTGAGAATATCTGCAAGACTAGGTGCGAAACTAGATTTTCCAGTTCCCCAACCCCTTTGTTCAAGGCTTAACCCAGTTTTTTCTCAACTTGAAGACGTTTGGACTTCAACTCCCAGAATTCCCTGGCTAGACTGAAAAATATTGGGTTATAACTAGGTGGGGATCAATCCCCAAAATAAATAATATCTCAATTTTTGTTGGTAATTGGGAGGGAAGGCGTGTTTGGAATAAGATGTATCTAGGGGTGTGTGTGTGTGTGTGTTTGCACACACACACACGTGTATGTAACCTTTCCTTATCTTTTGCCCTCAAGGCCTGTTGGATTACAATTTCCATTGTTCTACAGATCCCATGCAGCACATTCATTTCACTTTATTCGGTTGTATTCCGCCTTTATTAACATTTATAAATAACTCAAGGCGTTGAGCATACTTAATACTCCTTCCTCCTGCTATGTTCCCCACAACAACGACCTTGTGAGGTGGTTTGGGCTGAGAGAGAAAATGGGTGTCCCAAAGTCACCTAGCTGGCTTTCATGACTAAGGCAGGACTAGAACTCACCGTCTCCTGGCGATTGGCCCAAAGTCTTCCAACTGGCTTTCATGCCTAAGCCAGAACTAGAATTCACAATCTCCTGTTGGTCCAAAGTTACCTAGCTGGCTTTCTTGCCTAAGGCTGAACTAGAATTCACTGTCTCCTGGTGATTGGCCCAAAGTCACTCACGCCTAAGGCAGGACTAGAATTCACAGTCATCTGGTGATTGGCCCAAAGTCACCCAACTGACTTTCATGCCTAAGGCTGAACTAGAATTCACTGTCTCCTGGTGATTGGCCCAAAATCTCCCATCTGGCTTTCGTGCCTAAGGCAGGACTAGAACTCCCAGTCTCCTGGGGTTTGACCCAAAGTCACCCAGTTGGGTTTCATCCCTAAGGCAGGACTAGAACTCATCATCTCCTGCTGATTGGCTCAAAATCACCCAGTTGGGTTTCATGCCTAAGGTGGAACTAGAACTCTCCATCTCCTGGTTGCTAGGCCAGTCCTAGACCACATCTCCCGGTCACTAGACCACATCTTAATGAGATGCTATTCGTCCCACCTCTGGTGCATTCGACGTGGCCTCTGCAACCACAGGAGAAACCCAAAATCCATCGTTTTCTGCACTGAATATCTGGATGCGCTACCCCCCCCCCCAGTTTGCACGTGAAAAGCTGCAACAGTGTGCAGGCTTCTGGGAGGGTGTTTCAGCGGGGTGTGCTTCTGAGAAGGCCCTGCCAAATAGCCAGCCTCAACCCCATCCCTCCCAGTGCAAAATTTAAGGATGCAAAAAAAAATAAAAATCAATTCAATCAGGAAATAAAAATCCTGTTCAGAAAAATGCCCGGTTTACTTTTCAGAATGCCCGGGACGTCCTTTGCAGGGGTCTGTTTGTGTGTGTGTGTGTGTGTGTGTGTGTGTGTGCCAGCCTTCGGCTTCTGGGCAGAAGGGAGGAGGGCAGACGGTGCCCTTGTGAGTGCCTCCTCTGATTGGTCCATTCCAGGGGGCGTGTTGAAGGCAGGTCATGCGTCTCCCCAGCACGACCCGGGCACCAGCGATTGGCATGGAGCTTATTTATGCCAAGGGCAATTAGCTTCTCCTGGTGTGAAAGGAGAGGATTTGTGGGGTTTTGCGCCAAGAAGGGTGCTCTGGTTTGTTAACTAAAGATTCTTTTTTCCTGAAAGGGAACTCTTAATCTGGAACAGCTACTACAGTTTTAAATCACCTTGTTTGGAGAGTCGGCCTCGTGAGAGAATTCAGAGCAGGATGGAACAATAGCAGACATATTCAGCTGCAAGGCCTATTGGTTAAAGGCTGGGGGGGGCGGGCTGTGAGCTTGTCACCCAGTCTCAAGATGAATCTAGATTATAGGACTGGGGTGGAGAATAAAAGGAAGAATGATTTTCATAGAGGCCGCCTTCCAGAAAACAGAATCTGCCTCTGTGTTTTTCCTTCCTTCCTTCCTTCCTTCCTTCCTTCCTTCCTTCCTTCCTTCCTTCCTCCCTCCCTCCCTCCCTCCCTCCCTCCCTCCCTCCAGTCAGTCTGTCTGTCTGTCTGTCTGTCTGTCTGTCTGTCTGTCTGTCTGTCTATCTATCTATCTATCTATCTATCTATCTATCTATCTATCTATCTATCTATCTATCTATCTATCTATCTATCATCTGCCTGTCTGTCTGTCTGTGTATCTATCTGTCTGTCTGTCTGTCTGTCTGTCTGTCTATCTATCTATCTATCTATCTATCTATCTATCTATCTACCATCTATCATCTTTTTCTCCCTCCTGTATTTCTGTCCATTTATCTATCTCTCTTCTTTCTTTCTTTCTTTCTTTCTTTCTTTCTTTCTTTCTTTCTTTCTTTCTTTCTTTCTTTCTTTCTTTCTTTCTTTCCAAATCTATCTATCTATCTATCTATCTATCTATCTATCTATCTATCTATCTATCTATCTATCTATCTATCTATCTATCTATCTATCTATCTATCTATCTAATCTATCTATCTATCTATCTATCTATCTATCTATCTATCTATCTATCTATCTATCTATCTATCTAATCTATCTACCTACCTACCTACCTACCTACCTACCTACTTATCTATGATCTATTTTATGTAATCTTGGTCAATCTTGCAAAATCCATGCATAGACTGACCTGGTTATGGTTTGGATGGGGTTCCATGCCATCACCAGCTGTTGAACTTCATTCGAAGAATCTTTAGAATAAAAATAAAATAAAATAAAATAAAAGCTAGCTTCCTTCATTCTGTCACAGCTCAACACTCTGTTCCTCAACCTCAGCGTGCGACTCCTGGAATCTCCCAGGCGGCCACTAAGGGACCGGTCATAAGCCAAGGACTACCTACTTGTAAATCCAGCCCTTGGGTCGCCCTCCCAGGCCGGCTGTGGGGCAGCTCTGCTCACCCCCTCACGCAGGTATTTCTGCCCTGTCCCCAGGGATGTCTCCGGCAGCAGGAATTCACCTCCCTGGAGGAAAAACCCCAGTTCCCGGGAGCCTCGGCCGTCTTCATTGACAGGCTGGAATTCATACAGCCCAACGTCATTTCGGGGATCCCCATCTACCGGGTCATGGACCGGCAGGGGCAGATCGTCAACCCCAGTGAGGACCCCCAGGTGAGTTCTAGGCTCCGCCTCCCCCTTACCTGCTCCCCCAAAACAAAGGGCCATCTTTCACTTTCCGCCCTGTCTTGGCTCCGTCTGCAGATTTCCCAAGAGGAGGTGCTGAAGTTCTACAAGAGCATGACGCTCCTCAACACCATGGATCGAATCCTGTACGAGTCCCAGAGACAGGTAGGAGGGTGGCAGGAAGGGGGGGGAGGCAGGACAGGTGATCTCCAGGTGGCCACTTCTGCCAACTCCACTGGGTGCCCGTTTGCTTCCGGGTCCAATTCAAGGTGTTGGCTGTCCCCTAGAAAGCCTTACCTGGCGTGGGACCAGGCTACCATTAGGGACCGGCTTCGGCCCATTACATCAGCCTGTCCTACCCAGTTAGGCAGGGAAGGCATGTTACAGACCCCCCCCCCCTCTGTTAAAGAACTCTGACTGCAGGGTCTCGGAAGAGAGCTTTCTCTGCCCTTGTGCCCACCCACCCTGTGGAATATTCTCCCCCTCCCCCCAAAGGTAAGGCAGTCCCCCCCCCACTCTCCTGGTCTTCCGAAGCGGAACCAAAACATGGCAATAGCAATAGTCCTTAGAGTTACTCCTGGCAAAAAATAGAATAGAATAGAATAGAATAATGGAATGAAGTAGAAGAATAGAATAGAATAGAATAGAATAGAATAGAATAGAATAGAATAGAATAGAATAGAATAGAATAGAATA